TATTTAAATGTTGAAATTAAGTGGATATGTAATTTCATAAATACATGTACAAGTGTTTTTATTCATAAATATATACATGTATAGCCACATTGTGCTGTCATCTAATATTCTATTTAATTGTTTATTTAATTTTTCATGCTTTTGACTCTAATAAATGTAGTCTAACTTAAATAAAAACACATTAGGTTCACACAATATCAGTAATGCATCTACACTACAGCTAACAAAGGGCAGGATACTACAAGTACATGTACACACTGCTACACTGTATGAATTACAATTATCATAACTGTACACACATGTATGTATAACTATTCATGAGGACTGTACCTGTCATTGAATTAACTGGTTGATACGGCATTCCAGGGTACCTAGGTTGAGCCACACCCATTCCCTGCATTCCTTGAGCCACGCCCATTCCTTGAGGCAGGCCAGGGGTGATTCCTTGAGCTCCGCCCATCTGTATCGGACCTCCTGGCCTCATCATGTATTGCTGCTGTTGACCCATACCACCAACACTACCACCACCCTGCTGCCATTGAGCCTACATGCATATATGTAGATAAAGAATATTAATAAATAAATATACATGTAAATAAAGAAGCTGTCACCCAGTGATGTAATGCAATGTATTGACTGACCTGTGGGGGGAACTGCCCGGGATAAGACCTAATTTAAGAGGAGAGAGAGAGAGAGAATAGGAAATGATGAAATGTTATTAAAAGAAGAGAAGGAAGAAGGTAAGTAAAGAGAGAAACAACAAGAGAGAGAGACAAGACTCACCATTGGCCACTCATTGTTCACTGCTGTATGTTATAGTGGGCGTTACCCTTAAGCTGCTCCTTAATTAGAAAACAAAATTTAACCCCCAACATGGCGGCATTGCTTAAGTTCTGCGCATCCGCGAGACTTGACTTTTCGTTTTTTTAGTCCTCTTTAGAATTGTAGCTTTCAAATAATAACACATAGCAAATAGCAATAAATATAATTGTTATGAATCATTACAGAACTATAAGCATTATTATATTTAACAATTTATTGTAGTCCTCACTAGCCGTCACTAGCAGAGAAGTGTCATGACCTCCAGAGAATACCTATAGAAAAGAAGTGTTTTAGCTACTGTAGTAGTTTAATAGCCTCCTTGTAGTGCTCTTAGCATCACTAGCAGTAGTAGCCACTAGTGACTCAAGGAGTGAGACCTCTTCAATAATGAAGGTATGATATAGTTCAGGTTAATAATAGTATTGGGATGTCAGTGGGGGTGTGGCCAATTATACTGTGTACATATTGAAAAAGGCTATAAACCATAGGCTATAGCCCATGGTTTTTTCCAAAAAATGGCTTTGAAATCACCCCAAATTTTTATTACATTTCCTGATACATATTGATGTCCTTATGCTGTGTAGCAAGTTTGAGCTGATTCCGATTACAATTTTTCAAGTTATGGCCATTTTTAAAAATGCTAAAATCCTGAAAAATTCCCAAGGCTATAGTCCATGGTTTTTTTCAAAAAATGGCTCCAAAATCATCCCAAATTTTTATTACATTTCCTGATACATATTGATGTCCTTATGCTGTGTAGCAAGTTCGAGCTGATTCCAACTTCAATTTTTTGAGTTACGGCCATTTTAAGAAAATGCCAAAATTCTAAAAGTACCCAAGGCTATTAGTAACGCGGTAGCGTTACTAAGTAGGATTCACCCCCAAACAAAATGGCTGCCACGACTTTTGCAGCCTTGCTATACCGGGAAAATGAGCTCCTATGCTTACCAGACTTTATAGAGGACCTTATCTTGACCAGAGAACTCCAATGGTACAACTAGCGTGGCTCTAGACCTTTTCTGGGACAAAAATCAAAAATCTGCAAACCGGCCGTTTTGTTCAGCCACCTTTTTTCATCTTCATCATCATCAAGTTAGTCCTGTCAATCCAGTTGTCGGTCGATATATCGATCTTGCCTGGTGATAGAAGGCTAATTCTTACACCATTCTACTCCAACAGGGTATGCGCAGGTCCTTGTCCCCCTAGAATCATTCTCCAAGAAAGGAAGAAGTGATACTGTGATAGTCTCGCCCCGCCCTAAAGGGGCGTGGCGAGACTAATACTGTGACTGTTGGATCGAACCAGCTTACCCCATTCCGCCATTTTATTAATTAAAGAAGCATCAAGCATGTGCTCCAAAATTTGGGCGTGGTCGCGCATGCTCAGATCTCAGAACTGGGAACAGCAAGTATTTTTTACCTAGCTATCTATAGGCTGGCTATGCTTGGAATCAAATTGCAATACTTAGTGGAGCTTTCCAGCTAAAAGAAGGTATTAATCTTGCATATATCAAGTGTGTAATGAATTATTTTATTTCAAAAACACAAAACAATTAATTAATGTTATGATACTAATGATAATATGAACTTGACAACAGGAAGAACCTGCAGGAATAGCTACAGGATTGCTGGGAAGATAGAGCTTCTTGAACAAGGATTCACATCAAGACTATAGTATTCATTTCACTTGTCATCAGTATTCCTTCACCATATCTATTCAATTCAATCAGCGCTGTCCCTCATAAATGCTGGAAAATCATAACAATGACAACAATAATAAAGAAACTTATTGTTTGTGTAAAATCAAAAAGTATCACAATTGTAACTGCAAAATATTATAAATATTATTAA